TTTATTTATTTTATTTATTTATTTTTTTGTCATTTTGAAGCAGGGTCTCCCTGTAGCCCCAGCTGTCCTGGAACTCACTATGTAGACCAGGCTGGCCTTGAACAAACAGAGATCTGCCTGCCTCTGCCTCTCAAGTGCTGGGACTACAGGCATGCGCCACCACGCCCAGCTAAAGTTTTTATTTATTTTATATGTATGAGTGTATTGCCTGCATGTGTAAGTGCTCTCAGAAGACAGAAGTGGGCGTTGGATTGCCTGGAATTGGAATTACTGGTGGTTGATAGCTGCCATGTGGGTGCTGGGAATCAAAGTCAGGTCTTCTGCAAGAGCAGCCAGTGCTCTTAACCACTGAGACAGCTCTCCAGCCCCCTCCCCCATTTTTAAAAAAAAATATTCATTTATTTATTTATTTATTTAGAAAGACATTTTATGACAGACGGGTGTCCTATGAATACGCTGTGTGGAATTAATTTCCTATTAGCTACTGTGACTGAGCATATTGGGGGTATTTCTAACTTTGCCTTTCACTATTTATGTCTCAACCTTCTTCCGATTTTTACTGGCATTGCTTAAAAAAGAATGGTCATGCTGTAGTTTTGTTGTGCTTTTGACCGTGGAATAATTTTCAGTTACCATCTTTTCTATTAAAAACCAGAAATGTAATTTGTTTGTATTCTTTTTCAGGGTTCCCTTACTTTGTGACTTTGAACCTCTACACCAGCATGTACTTGCCCTACATAATTTGGTAAAAGCAGCACAAAGTTTAGATGAAATGTCACAGACGATTACAGATCTGCTGAATGAACAAAAGGCAAATGAGTTTTCAAGCACTTTTATTTGTATAAGATGTTTGCATTGTTGTAGATATTTAAAAGCTTTTCTCTCTGTGTACCAGGTATCCACAAGTCAGGCATCCCCACAGTCGGCTTCTTCCCCAAGGATAGAAAGTACAACAGGAATTACAACTACTACCTCACCGAAAACTCCTCCTCCGCTTACTGTTCAGGATCCCTTATGTCCTGCAGTGTGTCCCTTAGAAGAATTATCTCCAGATAGCATTGATGCACATACATTTGATTTTGAAACTATCCCCCATCCAAACACAGAACAAACTATACACCAAGCTTCTTTAGACTTGGATTCATTAGCTGAAAGTCCTGAGTCTGATTTTATGTCTGCTGTGAATGAGTTTGTGATAGAAGAAAATTTATCATCTCCTAATCCTATAAGTGATCCACAAAGTCCAGAAATGATGGTGGAATCATTGTATTCATCAGTCATTAATGCAATAGATAGTAGACGAATGCAGGACACAAATGCGTGTGGTAAGGAGGACTTCGGAGTTCATGCTTCTTTGCATGTCCAGTTGGAAAAATGTAGAGTTGTTGCCCAGGACACTCACTTCAGTATACAAGCCATCAAGGAAGACCTATACCACTTCAGAACATTTGTTCAGAAAGAACAGTGTGACTTCTCAAATTCTTTAAAATGTACTGCAGTAGAAATAAAAAACATTATTGAAAAAGTAAAATGTTCTCTAGAAATAACACTAAAGGAAAACCATCAGAAAGAACTACAGTCTTTAAAGACTGAATATGAAGGCAAGCTTGATGCTCTAGCAAAGGAGCGTGAGGAAAATGAAAATAAAATTAAAAAATTGAAAGGAGACTTAGTTTGTCTTGAGGAGGTTTTACAAAATAAAGACAATGAATTTGCTTTGGTTAAACATGAAAAGGAAGCTGTCATCTGCATGCAAAATGAAAAGGATCAGAAGTTATTAGAGATGGAAAATATAATGCACACTCAGAATTGTGAAATTAAGGAACTGAAGCAGTCTCGAGAGGTCGCCCTAGAAGACTTAAAGAAGCTGCACGTGGAAAATGATGAGAGGATGGAATTGCTGAGAGCAGAGCTTCAGTGCCTGGAGCAGAGCCACCTCAAGGAACTGGAGGACACACTGCATGTCAGGCACACGCAGGAGTTTGAGAAAGTTGTGACAGACCACAAAGTATCTTTGGAGAAATTGAAAAAGGAAAATCAACAAAGAATTGATCAGATATTGGACTCTCATGCCTCAACTCTCCAGGAAAAAGAACAGCAGTTACAGGAATTGAAACTCAAGGTTTCCGATTTGTCAGACATGAGATGCAAATTAGAGGTTGAACTTGCATTAAAGGAAGCAGAAACTGATGAAATAAAAATTTTGTTGGAAGAAAGTAGAACACAGCAGAAGGAAACTTTGAAATCTCTTCTTGAAAAAGAGACAGAAAGTTTGAGAACAGAAATAAATAAACTCAATCAAAAGATTCAAGATAATAATGAGAACTATCAGGTGGGCTTATCAGAACTAAGAACTTTAATGACAATTGAAAAAGATCAGTGCATTTCAGAGTTAATTAGCAGACATGAAGAAGAGTCTAATATCCTTAAGGCTGAGTTAGACAGTGTAACATCTTTCCATCACCAAGCACTTGAAATAGAAAAACACCTGAAAGAACAAATTGTTGAACTGCAGAGTAAATTGGATTCAGAATTGAGTGCTCTTGAAAGACAAAAAGATGAAAAAATAACCCAACAGGAAGAGAAATATGACGCTATTATTCAGAACTTTGAGAAAGACAAAGAGAAATTGGTCATGAGCCACAAGCAAGACAGAGAACAGTTAATTCAGCAGCTTAATTATGAGAAAGATGAAGCTATTCAGACTGCACTAAAGGAATTTGCATTGGAGAGAGAACTTGTTGAGAAAGACTTATTAGAAAAACTTAAACATCTTGAAAATCAAATAGCCAAAAGGTAAGAATTAAACTTAGTATGTAATTAAAATATCAGGGACTCAAATTTGTGTATAAACCATGGTGCCTTGGTTTATTCTTTTACTTTAGTTAAATAGCAGTTGAGATATTTTTATGAAATAAAATTTTTACTTTTTAAATAGTTCTTGTTTCTTGTAAACATTATGAAAACAACATATAAACCTATTACTGCTTTTAAAAGGTGAGTCAGAGCTGACTGTGATACCTCATATTAGTAGTCCCAGCACTTGGGAGACTGAGGCAGGAGGATTGCTGTCGCTAGACCAGCCTTGGTCACAGAGTAAGACCTTTACTCAAAAGGGAAACAAGTTACAAATTAACCCAGTATTTTAGATTTTCTGAAAGTGTTTTTTTTTTTTTGAAATGTTTTTAGAAACATTTTATAGTTTCTATTAAATTTTTCAGTTGAAATTACTTTAGTTCTCTTTATATGTACTTATTTGAATGTAAGTTTCCTCTGTTGCTAAATCATAAATTGGTAATATTCAGAATGTTCATTATTGTTACTTTTTGATTTTATAATTTGATACATTTTTTTTTCCTGGTTGGATTTAATGTTTTTAAGTGTTTTTAAATTCCAGACTTGATGATCTTTATGATGGAATTTTGTGGCCCAATAAACAGTTGGCAGAATATAATTCATATATCACTTCTATCATTAATTCTTAAAGTGGATATTGTGTGTGGGGGTGTGTAGAGAAACATTTTAATCCCTGTTTTACCACTTTTAAACACTCCTAATTTACTGTCTAATACTTGTTTCAATATAGCTTTTTCTGTATTCTTGGGAGATTAGAGGGTTTAATAGAGGAATAAGCCTTGTATAGATGGTTACAAATTGTGGGGACAAAGATCAGAGTGATTGTTACGGGGAGCTCATTTAAAAACCAGAACCGAATGGTAAAGTGGTAGGAATAGATTATATCAAGGAATTGTTGCAATAGTAATCATTCCTGAAATGAACTGTCACTATAGAACTGAGCTTAGTTCTGAATATAGCGCTGACTAACTGAAGTCTCTGCCAAGCAGAGGGTGGGGGCAGTAGGTGGATACTTGTGAAGAGAAAGGAATCAATAAAGGGAGTTCTGACATACCAAGATTCTTGTTGACAGCAGACTAGATAAGATACCAAGGGTGGCAGATGAAAAGCTTGATCTACTACTGAGAACAATCAGATTATAGGAGTGGGGGAGTTTTCTCCAAACTGACTTACCAAGCTGCTTGCTACAGCCGAGCAAGGCAAGCCCAAGAACAGATACCAAGGTTGGAGTCTAAAGGGCCTAGAAGAGACTCACTGATGTTTAAAAGTCAGAGTCTTTGTCAAGCTCTAAGTGGAATTATTAAGAAGACAGACACTGAAGTACTCACCAGAGCTGATGGTCCTCCATGCCTCAGTGAGAAGCTGCCTCAGCACTCAGGAATCTCTTCAGAGTACCCAATGTTTTGGATTAATCTGCTACATAAAATGGGTCATTTTGTTACTTGCCAGGAAGTTGCTCAGACTACAGCTGGCAGCAGCTACTTCTGGAGAATAAGCCTGGGCTTCTTCCGTCTTCCAAACCTTGCAGGTTTTCTTTTGTTGGTATACTTGACGCTCCACAAGGGATTCTGGGAAATGTAGAATCTCTGCAAAAAGTGATGGTGTTGGGGATGGCAGTTTAGCACTGTCCCTGTTTTAAACTTAGATGTGTATCTCTTTGCTCATACTGAATTTCCAAATAAAAACACTTTAATATCATGTTCGTTTGACTTGATGCAACCTCTGTCCCTCATATTACTTCAGATAGCCTTACCCTTCAAAAGTAAGACTTGCAGTGATGTCCCTCTCTCCTTCCTAGGCTGAGTGAGCACTTGTTCAAATCTGTTGAAAATCTGTAGATTAAAAGCTGAACTGCGGGGTTACTGACCATTATCATACCTTCATAAACTAGGGAAATAGTCTTTTTATTTCTATAATAAGCTTTTCAACTCTAGTAGATATTTACAGTTTCCTTCTATTATCTCCTTTATTTTTTACCTCAGCCTGTGCCTTATCTGATCTTAGTTCTTTACCTGATAGAATGATTCAAGTTTTTGTAAAGACACTGTCATTAATACTAACTGTAATACAACTGCTATCAGGTTTTAAATTTACTTGTTTGTTTGGTGCTGGGGACCAAACCCAAGGCCTGTGCATACTAGACAAGCACTGTCCCAGTGATCTATCCCCATTCCTAAGTGCTATAGTTTTCCTGAGTTTTCTCCTTCCCTCCCTCCCTCC